CACCTCTCCTGCTGTGCATGAACTATGCTGTTGAATGTTCAGCGTATGAGGTGGCTAGGCTAACCTTGCTTCAATTTTGATAAAATTATTTTCTAATCAGTTGCTATTATGTTGTGAATATACCCCTGTAATGTATACTGCAGTCCTCTTTTGTCTGGCTTTCTCAGATATCTCACCTGTTTGCCAAAAATGACTAATTAAATCCTTGGGAATGTCTGACACCAGCGCATACACACTGTAATAGATGTGCCAGGCATGAAAGCTTGACAGGCGTAGCAACAGTAACTAAGGAGGGCGAGGCTTAGCAAAGGGTTTTTCCAAGAATGTTGATATGGTTTCTTTCTTGCTTTACTATTTATTAACAATACACAAAAAACTAAAAGGTTAAGGTAAATTATTTAATAAATTCTAGTGTTTTTGAGTATTATACTTGTTGTATACTTGTATTATACTTATGTTTTAGGCTAGTATTATTTACGACTTGTTAATGAATGCTTCATAATACAGTAGTATTACCAATAGTGAACAGATAAAATAATACAAAGTGTAGTTTTACTACAGTAAAGTGTAGTGATTTGTAGTATAAAATACCTTATATTGTAAAATAATACAGCACTGGGTAATTTGTTTATATTACACTTGTGTTACCATAGCAACTTTAGTATTACCACAACTGATCAATTGAAGTTCTTTACTGTAGTAGGCTACTGTTCAAAACACAGTACATGCCAATATACGTGTTCAGGGGCCTTGTGGAACAGCTTTCCTCAAAATGAAGAGGATGACATGGAAAATGTCCTCCACAATCTCATCAGCAAAGTGGAAGCCAGCAGACACTAGTTTACTTTATTTTAGCTGCCATGATAAAATGAGATTGATAGTGAGATTTATTTGAAGAGTGAATAGTACAGTAGGCTATAATACCTTTTCAAGTGTTTCCTTATTTTTATCACAGTTACATTTCCGCTTGCATTAGTTTTTGTTTAAATGCTTTTAAAATAAAATATGTTCTTTACATCCAACATCTATTCCAGGGGTGCCTTATAGTGGTGTAAACCCCTTTACAAGGGGTGTTACCCCTGTGTAAACTCTAGCCACCCCTGTGGCCAACCCGATATGATTTTGCTGTTGACATTATTTATTTAAATCTACTTACATAAATGCAATACAATGCAATATTTCAATAAATAAATAGCAGCCACTAAATTATTGTGGATTGATTGGTGCCACTGACGTAGCTGGCCTCTTCTGGCCCCCTTAAGCAAATTTTCAGGGGGGCACCACTGGTCTATTCTCTGTCTTTAAGTGTTTGAAACTGAAAATATCTCATCATATAAAACAACCAAAAATGTTATGGTTTATTAGATTAAACATTTAATATGCAAGTCTATTTTAGTATTTTGGTTATTGTTATTAAACAGGGCAGCAATATGAATCATATCAAAAAGCATGAAAGGAAGAGGGAACACGACACAAATTGTGAGTTTGCATATAATCTCTGAGAGCGCTCAAGAAAATTTGTGTGTGAGCAGTGCATATTTGAGAGCGAGAGAAAATTTGAGAACTCGCAATCAGTTTTGTCCACAAACAGAGGAAATCTGTGCACGAGCATCACACAAGGTAGAGAGCAAAGCTCTTCAACGTTATGTGAAGAAAACAACTTTATTGTTTGTATGAAGTAGCCTACTTTATTAACAATATGTGCTACCATTTTACATTGCTGCTAGACAGATTTGCAACTCCATCTCTTCAGCACACACGAGATTTAATTGACAAAATTCCAATTTCACTCAATTTAACTTTGCAGCATATACAGGAGTTGGTCTACTGCTACCACATTGAGGTTATGTAATTTTGGTTAATCACAAGTTGATCACCGAAGACATAACATAGCACAACTAAACTTAATGAATTAGACAGCAGTAGACCTGCAATTTCTGTGTGATGTGAGGCAAAATAGAGTCTTTTTTTGGTGGAACTCGTTCTTGTGCATTATGCTGTGGAGACGAGACGCAGCACTGTTCAGTACTTTTTCAGAAAATTGCATTTGTATTTTTTATATATCTGAGCAATGTTCTTTAATAAAAAAAGGTTTGTTTAATTAATACAGATCTTACAACCATACCTAATCTGTATATATTTTATTTTTCTGTTAAAAAGACTCGAAAAGACTCGAAAATCAAACTGCAGGACTTTGGACTTGACTTGAGACTTGTTGCCTTTAACTCGGGACTTGACTCGGGACTTGCCTGTCTTGACTCGGGACTTGACTCGGGACTTGAGGGCAATGAATTGAGACTTACTTGTGACTTGCCAAACAATGACTTGGTCCCACCTCTGGTTCACACCTCTAATATACACACACACACATATATACATATACATATATATATATATATATATATACACATGCAGGTTGGCAAAGCTCAATTTTTTTAATCTAGATAAACTCGGATTTACTCATTTTAATTCTGCCGAAGGCATTCAGAGTATGTGTGCTACCCAAATAATAAGTTTTTGAGAACGGGTGGCGCATTAGACCAGGGGTTCATCTCCTGTTTCCAAAATGCATCACAAACTGCTTGAGAATCTGTTCTACTATAATAATTGGTGATGAAATTGGTGATGAAAATAAATTATGTTCTATAAGATGTACTTGTGTTTACTAACAGTTTATTCAGTTAAACATTAATTTTGAACTGTAGGCCTACATAAGTCCAAAACAGCAATTTTGTATGACCTTAATCCGACTAAAGTCATAACTGAACTAAACAGAAATGGAATTAAGACATGTGTAAGACATGTGTTTTTTATATTGCGCAGCACATTAACGCAGATAACGGCGATACACACACACACACACACACACACACACACACACACACACACACACACACACACACACACACACACACACACACACACACACACACACACACACACACACACATACATACATACATACATATATACACACGGTGGCACAGCAGGTAGTGCCTGGAAGTGCCTGGTTTGATCCTCGGCTGGGTCAGTTGGCATTTCTGTGTGAAGTTTGCATATTCTCCCCGCGTTCACGTGGGTTTCCTCCGGATGCTCCGGTTTCCCCCACAGTCCAAAGACATGGAGTACAGGTGAATTGGGTAGGCTAAATTGTCTGTAGTGTATGAGTGTGTATGGATGTTTCCCCGAGATGGATTGCAGCTGGAAGGGCATGCGCTGCTTAAAACATATGCTGGATAAGTTGGCAGTTCATTCCGCTAGGGCGATGCCAGATTAATAAATGGACTAAGCTGAAAAGAAAATGAATGAATGTATGAGTGTGTATGGATGTTTCCCAGAGATGGGCTGCAGCAGGACAGGTATCCGCTGCGTAAAACATATGCTGGATAGATTGGCGGTTCATTCCGCTGTGTTGACATGTGTCCTCTGAATACAAGTTTCAAAAAATGTATCTTTGGTTTTATTATACAATATTTATTCTGATGACTTTTAATCTTGCACCTAACAATTATCCTTTTTTACAAAAAACAACAACCTACAACTAACACTAAAACTAACAAAAACTAAATTAAAACTAACTAAAATCGGAGACAAAAAGTGAAAACGAAATAAAAACTAAAACTAATGAAAAATCTAAAAGAATTATAACCTTGACACACAAACACACACACACACACACGCACGTACACACGCGTCCAGACGCTTGGCGCAAGAGTCGTTTTGACATTTTGCGCTACGCTGTTTAAATAGCAAAGGCATTTGTGCTCATATGTGCGCCCATAGGCGTTCTGGTCTAAAACAGCAGGCGTGTTTTGGCGCGTTGCTTTATTGAGAAACTATAATAGTCTGTTCTTTAGACCAGAACAAAGCCGGCCTATTGTCCAGCGCAAAGTGCGCCTCGCTTACACACTGCTTAATACACACAAGATGTAGAGCCATACGCAAATATCTTTACATATGAAAAATAATTAAAATATTGAGGATATATATATATATATATATATATATATATATATATATATAGGATGTAATAAGATATATATGATATAAATATAAAGGATTAATATATTACAAAACATTATTTTCTAGCCTACATCAATTTAAAAACCATACTTTCATGCCTTCTTGTTCTCTGGAGGCTTTTTCAGTTCATTCAATTTGCTTTGTATAATGTTATCATTATTAGCAGAATTATTTATTATATCCATATTATTTATTGTTTTATTAAATACAAGCTTAGATTTGCCCACCTGTCAGGTTTCAGACCATATGGGGCACAGCATGTGTATTAGGGTACAACTCAGGTTTTTAAACACACTTTGTTATTATTGTTCATTTGATCATTTGTTGAAAATTAGAACTGAATTCAGAAATAGTTTTGAAACAAATCTTTGCGCTTAACAAACGAAATTAACTATTTATAGACTAATTGATGTCTGTGCTTACAAGGTTTCCCTATCCATGAGAGCAAAAGTGAAAGTTAATAATTCATCTCTCATTCTCATGCTGTAGATGCTCTGTTTAACTGTTTTCTTGCTAGTGAATTGCTCAGTTTTTCCACTTACAAAGTCGTCATGTAAATAGCAAATCCGCTTATGGCGCGACGCAACTGGCTCTTAAAGGGAATGGGAGATTTGACTCTGATTGGTTTATTTTTAAAACACCTATAACTCATTAAGAAAATAGACTCAACCTTTTTAGACCATGCGCCATAGCGCAAAGCAAATTTTTCCGTCCTTAAAATAACAAAAGTGGATTCTGACACACCCTGAAAGTGTTTGCGCCCTACGCTTTGCACATGGACCGTCAAAATAGAGCCCTTTATCAATTTATTAATTGCATTAAAAAAACTACTTTATCATATCCAATAAGGATTTAATAATAAATACCTAAAAGTATTATATGCTGATTGCATATGATATCTGAGACATTTAGATATGATCTAAGGAGGAATTATTTTTAAAAACAGAGCAATGTGAGCAATGTGTGCAGCGAATCACCTCTGTTTTTCTGCTCCACACAGAGCTGTCTCTCTAGTGTCTCGCGCAGCTCTCTCTCCCTGTACAGCTCCATCTTCAGCTCTGTGCGCTCCAGCTGAACCTGCTTCTCTTGCGCTCGTGCATTATCAATAGCCACCTTTAACAAACCCTGGTGGAAACAGGAAAACAGGATGAAAATTTAATTTATACACATTACAGAGTGAATCTTTCCTGAAATATTTTGATTTGCATTTCTGGACCTGTATGTTGGTGAGAAGGGTTTCTATGGAGGACAGGCCTTCAGGAAAGAGCAACGGAGCAGGGAATCCTGGAGGTAATGTTGGCCCAGAATGAGACAATCTCTCATAGCTGTCCCGTGATGTCGGGGTGCACAGGACATTTTCTTCTGTCATAAGACAAAAAGCACAATCATAAACATTTTGAATTAAATCAAATATTTAATAACCCAATAAATACATACATGTTTGTGAATACTTTTGTTTAGCAAGGGACATTATACAAAAGTGGAAGTGAAATATGCAGACTGTTGTGAAAGCTTATACTTTTTTATGATTTTTCAAAATGTTTTCTTTAATTAAAATCATGTTTTCATTCAACATAATCTCATCATAAAATAATTAAATCCACCACACATATATATATATATATATATATATATATATATATATATATATATATATATATTTTTTTTTTTTTTTTTTTATTTATACAACAGTTCTGTTTCCATTCTTGAATCTTTTATTGAATCTATTATTCCGCTCACATACAACAGCACGCAGAGGGCACTCTACAATTTGACAAATATTGCTGCTGTTGGACAACATCATGCACTTATGAGTTTTTTTAGTGAAGTATGTATTTGTTTAGATTACAACTATGCAGTTTATTTATAAGGATAGTGCCCATTTTAAATATTTATAATTTCGGAGCATCAGATTCAGTGTATCGTCCGCCATTAGCCTGTCTGAGCAGACCCAAGAAAGTGACAGTTGACATTCCACCACAAGATGGCGACAGAGACCACATAGCGTAAATTTCTAACGACAGCAGAACAAATCATTATAAATAAGGTAAGTGACATTTTAAGTCGTTCTCTCTTTTGTATTTTGTATTGCTGTATTTTTATGTCTTTTTGGGGGTTAATTATAGTGAAATTCCGATTGCAACAGACAAATACTGGGATGTCTCTGTAGATTGATGGCATTTCATGCCGTTCAGCCATATAATCTTAAAATGATAGCAAAAATCAAAGGCACTCGGCCGAACACCTCCCACTAGTATATACAGTCACACTGCTACTCGTGTGATAATATATATATATATATATATATATATATATATATAATTTTTTATATATATAAAACTAAAAACTAAAAACTAAAAAAAAATCTGCAAGGGGAAATTATTTTCCATAAATTGTTTATATATTGTAATTTCACACATCAGTGCTACTTTGTTTTCAAGCTTTTCTCTCATTGAACTTTATTCAGTTCATTTGCTGACAACCAAAAATGTCTTCAGTTAAATCTTCTTAGTTTAAACAAGCCATTGCACGCTGGTTCTGGTTTAGTTTTGTAGTGTCAGGGGAAGTAGATCTGGTTCAACTTAAGCTACAGCAGATACTCACATCATCTAATGGCTCTACATCTGTTTTCAAGTTTTAGTCACAGCTGTATTAAGTTGAGTGCAGAAGGTTAAAAATAAGACTCCAAAGCAGCAGTATGTCTTTAATAATAATATTAATAATATATGAATATGGTTTATATTCAAGCAAGCTTTCGCCTGTGTCTCCTTTCTAAGTACAATGACAGTCATATAGGCCTAGAATGAAGACAACCAAGAGCAAAGACAAGCACTTAAAGCACAGGAGGAGGCTGAGATACAGAACATCAAGAAACGTTGTTTTTGATCAGGCCGAAAGCCTTGATCTTGTCATTGTCACTCACTTCAAAGAGTTCACTAATGTATGAGGCCACATGCTACTATCCAGAACTAACAGTGTCTCCATCGGACAATCTTATCTTACTCCTCCTCTCCTCTGTGCCACTTCAACAATATGATCGTAATCTTTAATGCCCAACTCTAATCTTCATAAACCACTTATCATTCTAATTTTTGATCCTTATCTTAATTTGGTGGAAAATTACAGTCATATTTTCATTACTAAAGCAGTGGTTTAAACTTTGCTGTTATAATATAACATGTGGTGGTATCTACTTCTGCTAAATGCAAATAGACAACAATGCCAATTTATAGTAACTCTGCCCATTTTTCACTTAAAGGTGCTGTATGTAAGTTTTTGACTCTTCTAATGAAAAAAAAAAAAAACATAATATGTTTGCAGATATTTAAGAAACATGCCAAGTGAACATTCATGTTTTTTTCTAAAAAAACAACAACAATGCTAATGTCAGATATTCTGCTTTGAAAATGTACATTCCATGCCGGAACGCCGTCTTTGTTTTGGTCCCTTTTACCTACCCAATGCAAGTTTTGCCAATTATATTTCAGCACCCAGGGTTGCCTTGTTGGAAACAGCGTATATCATTCATACAGCCATAAAGGCTGTTAAAGTATGCTTCTGCAACCAAAAATGCGACCTCCAGTGGACAGTAGCAGACTGCGAAATAAGATGTGGATTCAGAGTTCGACGTAAGTTATTAATTTGCAAATAATATAAATATTCTGAATGTAAACATTAAGTTAGCAGGTTACATTGTAACCCCGTGTCCTAACAACATGCAACTTGACGAGAATTGCAGTGATGCACAATTTTGCTGTTTGAACTAGATGCAACATGAGATAAATTTAAATACAGCCATTCAGAAGCACAGAATATGTGCACTTACTGCACTTCAACAAAATGGTATAGGTGTATAATCTAATTAATACATATAAAGTCTTTTTAACATTATGAAATGTACATGCTAAACCATTAATATATTTGTTTGCTTTCACTAAGTCACAGTTCAAAATTTAATTTCTGATCTGAGAAATTAATCTCAGATTTTTATTAGGATTATCAAAGATCTGAGGTGACCTATCTTTAGTAACTCACAATATTAGCATTTAACACTGAATAGAGCACATGAGGTGTACCTGAGGTAAACCTTGTCAGTTTATCCTATTGTTCAGTTGCAGAAAATAGAAGCCGTTTCTCGAATAAAAAAATTGGTTGTTGGTTAGAACAAAAACTCATTTTATTATAAAAAATATTTCTTCTGTTGTTGCTTTTATTTAGAAAACAGTTTAAATCAGCCTTTAGTCTTGATAGTCAGGCACGCTCCGGTTGGTGTCGTCAATCTGGCAACCTGCACTTGCATGTGTTTTTAACCAGGAGCGCAATACTTAGTTCAACCACTGAGTGTCAAATATACACACTGCACCTATGAATTGGTATAAGCTATTTTTAAAGGATCTTTTAAAATGTTGGGGTCAGTACGTAAATCTCTTATGATCACCAAAAGCTGCATAAATCTTATCAAAAATAAAGTAAACACAGTTTAAAAAATATATGAACATCACACTTTGCAGAGCATTCTCAAATCAGCTCACTGTAGGGTGCAACCCAAAGCTCAAATCACAGCTCAAACAATGACCTTAGCATGATACAGTCAAATCATGACATGTTGCTGTTTATGTTGCATAAATAATAGAGAGAAGGCCTTAATCTTAAATAAAGAAGATTTAAATCATATTGAACATAAAATTTTGTGAAAACAAATATTAGTTGTGACATGACCATAATTTACTTAGTAAAACGTGACACACTGTGACTGATATAAAAAAATCCTAAACGATTTCATTAACAAAATATTATTAAATTGTATTTAGGTTGATTCGTTGACATTGTATACTTATGCAATATTTTTTATGCAGTGATAGCTGTGAATGCAAATGAATAAGCTGACCAAAACTTAAAATTTTAAACAAATCTATGCAGAGATTCTTAAGCAAATCATAAAACTATTAGGCTATTTCTTTAGCCTAGGGCTCCACTATTGTACCTATCTAAGCTGTTTTAATACATTTGCACAGTGAGACCAGATGGGCTCTGTTCATTTTGTAGGGCTGTACTAAAGCATGGGGTTTATGCAGGTATCCATAGTTCTGTAGTCGTAATAACCAGCCCTGTGTATGCTAATAAAAAATGTCAGCAGGGAAGCCAGAGAAAGGTGACTTTCTGTTCTAACACAGCTGAACTATTAGCATAATACTGTACTGCCATATGGCGTTGGCATTACAATTATACACTGTAGGGTAGGACATAATATCAACATTATTGCACTGCTATAATATTTGTCTTATGATTAGCATGACTGCATCAAAAGGAATACATTCAGAATATTAGGGGTGTTCAATTAGTAGACTGACAATGAAATGAACATTCTCCACTCTAATGTGAAATGCTTGTTTGATATGTATGTGTTATGGTGTGAGGTTAAAACTTAGGTTCAAAAGTTGTGAGATTAATAATAATAATGATACATTGATCATTTGTTCTTACAATTTATTGATTTCTTAGGTCATTTTTGGTATTTTAGGTAAACTTGCCATATAACCACAAAAAAGAGGCTAAATTTAAAATACTACTACCGATAATAATAATGACAATATATATCGCAAATTGGTGAGGAATTGGTGGTTTTTTTGTTTTTGTTTTTTGTTCACGTCCTGTATAATTTCCTATTTTCTTTAAGAGGAGGGTCAATGGATGAGTTCATGCATGGCTTTTTTTTAGATTATTTGATAAAATATGGATTTAGATTAAGAATATTAGGATTTGAATTTTTTATATGTGAACACTAAAGGGGACAAGCATTGCTATAAGTAATGCTATTTATATTTTTAATTACATTTATATTTATTTTTTATTATTATTTATTTTCTGTAAACTTACAGCTATAGACAACCAATTTTGTTTATGTGAATGAGTTGTGGCTAGAAAGGCATCAGCTACATAAAACATATCCCTGAGTTATTGGTCATTCATTCCACTGTGGTGATCCCTGATAAATTAGGGCTTAATCCAAATGATAATGAGTGACAATGTTATTAAAATGGAGGGTGACATGGTGGCTCAATGGTTAGCTCTGTTGTTTAGAAGGTTGCTGGTTCGAGTCCCAGTTGAACCAGTTGGCATTTCTGTGTGGAGTTTGCATGTTCTCCCCTTGTTTGCGTGGATTTCCTCCGGGTGCTCTGGTTTCCCCCACACTCCAAAGACATGTGCTATAGGGGAATTGGATGAACTAAAATTGGCCATAGTGTATGAGTGTAAATGCGAGAGTGTATGGGTGTTTCCCAGAACTGGGTTATGGCTAAAAGGGTATCTACTGCGTAAAACATATGATGGATAAGTTCTGCATTTAGTAAAATTAGTTGATT